TGATGACAGGTGCCAAGACATAATCTCGCCTAGCATACTGATTGTTAACTCCTTTAATAATTATGGTAACTATTTATAATAGTATAGATATAAAGCATGTTTTCTATAAATATGATTTCTACGTCATATTGTAATTTAAGTGAAACCAGATATTTCCTATTGCTTGCTATCTCAGTAATTGCTTTTTAGACAGACAAACAAAATGGTTTGAATGGAAACTTACGCTAATTGGTGTGATACATCTTCAATATGATTGGCATGATTATGTGTAGAGGTGTCACGGTCCAAAAGAATTTCGGTATGGTACGGAACGGTACAAATGGTCTCGGGACACAGTAATTTCGGGACGGAACAGAATATTTAAAAAAAAAAAAATGCAATGTCTGGTGATGACAGTTTCACTTTTCAAAATCATATTCAGAAATCTAATATAACGCATCTGCCGTGAATGTGATCGGCATTTCGAATAGTCTGCACGGTGTACTATCACCAATTCGTGATTTTGGGAGTCCCAAAATACTTCCAAACTGCCGACTTTTATGACTTAGATGCCGGCTTGATTTTTTGATTTCTTTTCTACATTCGGCATAATGATAATGTATTTGATTTTCGAACGCCTATGAAGAGATTTTCGAGCAAGCAGTACCATCTCAAATAACTCAAATACCATTGGCCCGATTTTGTTTACATTTTGTACACATTTACTTAATGGGGGTAGAAGTTCTGCTCGAAAACTGATTTTCAAAATGGCCGCTCATTTAAAAATGGCGGCCATTTTAGTGCCGATTTTACAGTAATTTAGGTACTGCATATAAAACTGTAATAGCAATATGTTTTAAATGTAAAAAAGTTATATAGGACATTTATTAAGCTAGAAATGTAAATACAGAAGAAATACATGCCAGCCATCTCGAAAAATGGCTGCTTTTGCACGTAATTTTACGATTTTTGCTGTAACTTGAAAAGTAGTGGAGCGATTTTGTTCATATTTGGTATGTGAATACTTTAAGCATGGCACAATGTCTAATGACATTTTTGGTAGTAGGCGCCCATTTTTCAAAATGGCGGCCATTTTTATGTGTGTTATTCAACATTTTTTACTGTAAGTCAAAAAGTATTTGAGCGATTTTGTTCATATTTGGTATGTGAATACTTTAAGCATGGCCCAATGTCTAATGACATTTTGGGTAGTAGTCAGCCATTTTGAAAAATGGCCACCATTTTTACGTGTGTTTTACTTTTTTAATATAACTCAAAAAGTATAAGAGCGATTTTGTTCATATTTTATATGTGAATACTATAAGCATGGCACACTGTCTAATGACACTTTGGGTAGTAGGTGGCCATTTTGAAAAATGGCCACCATTTTTTACATATTTTAGTATAACTTGAAAAGGAGTGGAGTGATTTTGTTCATATTTGATATGTGAATACTTATGAGCCTTGCACACTGTCTCATGACACTTCACATAGTAGGTGGGCATTTTAAAAAATGGCTGTCAATTTTACATTTTTTACTAAAACTCGAAAAGGATTGGAGCGATTTTGTTTATATTTGATATGTGAATACTTTAAGCATGGCACATTGTCTAATAAAACTTTGGGGAGTAGCCGGCCATTTTGAAAAATGGCCCCCATTTTTCTGTGTGTTATTTTGCTTTTTTTATTAGAATTCATTCAAAAAGTAATAGAGCGATTTTGTTCATATTTGATATGTGAATACTCGCAAGGATTGCATACTGTCTTATGACATTTTGGGTAGTAGGTGGCCATTTTAAAAAATGGCCAAATTTACATGTATGTGTGTGAGATTTTTTAAAAAATTTGTGGCTACTTAAAAACATATAACTTCCTTCTTCCAACTTGGCTAGTGAGCAACCATTTTGAAAATGGTGGCTTTTCTTATGGGTGTTATTTTATGATATTTGCTATATATTTTGTTTGTAAAAATGCCAGCCATTTCTGTTCGATGGGATTCGCTACACTTTGGCATTGCCGTTGTTCTGGTTACATTATTCTTTCTTTGGCTCTTAAAGAAACATCCCGGATGCCCAAACATCTTCTTCATTGGTGCGCGGCTTTTTAAATGGCGGTTCAAATTTTGCCGAAAGCCAAATACTTTAGCACAAACGTCCCATGCAACATCTGAAAGGAAAATGAATTGTGATAAATGGGTTGTTCACTCATTAATAGAATGAAATCGATAAATTTCAATCATTAATCATTTCACTACTCACAACACATATGGAATCGGCATTCTTCATCGAATTACGTTACATTATGACATTGCGGGAATATAAATACATCTATTACTGGAAGGAATGTATTATAGTACCTGTACCGTCACATTATCATCTGTCCATCCCCCACTCTTATTTTTGCCTTGTTTTGGAGAAATCAGCTTTTTCATCAATATATCACATTTCAAAATCTTGAATTCAGTATGTGACCCAATGTATCGTCACATTTTATATTCAGCTTATTTGGTCTTTACAGATGAATGTATTTGTATATAAATGCTGCATTGGTACCGATTATTATATGATTGTCATGAAACCCTGACATTATACTCTTACTCTTGTGTATTTCTGGTGTATCTAATAATTACCAAATTGAGAGTTCGTGAAAAGAATTTAATTGAGCCATATATAATGAAGTTTTTTTATAGACCATTTTATTTCCATGTGAGATAACTTTACAAAATATTATACAGTATATTTGATTAAATCATAACAAAACAAGTCTAATTTAATACATCGTTGGCCCTTGAATATAACTTGAACAGAAGTTATTGTAATAAGAACCAGTGCAGTATAAGTACATACCTTTTATCCTCTTCTGGCCTGTCTTTAGTAAAATGTCGCATTTTTTATCTTTAGAAAAACTTTTAAATCCAAAAACAAAAAATTGAAACAGCCAGAGAAACATATGTCACTAACTAATCCTGATTTCCCTTAGTGGAGTAAATATTGTTATTATATTTACATAATTTTACTATATTTACATTATTTTATATAAGCAATTTTATGAGATAAGTTATAAAACTCTATCATTTTACATGTACTGTATTGTTATTATATTTACATAATTTTACTATATTTACATTATTTTATATAAGCAATTTTATGAAAATAAGTTATAACTCTCTATCATTTTACATGTACTGTATTTGTGCAGGCATATGAAAAAGCATACTATTCTAGTATCTGAAGCTGAATTTCTTAATTTTGATTCATGTGCCTACTTTTAGATAATATAAACTTTGTTTTGTATGCAATCATTAAAATCAGTTCTCATTCATACAAAAACTAAGATACAATTATACATATGTAAATGTATGTGAAGTTTTTGTTGCATTTGTTAATATTGACTCATTATCAGTATTGACACCCTATCATCGGAATGACACCTTATTATCAGTACCAACACCTCTTGTAAATTGGGTTAAGTTGATGGTGAAATAAAAAAACTGCCAATTTACATCTTTGGCCAAACTTAAGAAAAATTCCCCAGGAATTTTCCCAGGAATTTTGTCCTGTGTGTTTAAGTCACTTCCAGTTTAGTTTTTACAAAGGCAGAAAATGTCACATCTAAATTGACCCAGGATGGGCCAATCTCTAGTCAATACACTGTACGGATGGAAAAGGTAATAAAGAAAAACTTGGGATAATAGCAGTGTCCATTGAGGTTCAAATGCGCTGAAAAATCTTGAAAAAAGGCACTTAAACAGTGTTACTTAAATATATATAAATATTCTGATAAAAACAAAAAAGATAATAAACAAGTTACCCAATGAATTAACTAATTTCTGATCTTCAGACTTTGATACAATTGTTGACCATATCTATGGAGGAATTGTGTCACTTCCACTGAAAATCAATAATACATATATCCTAAGTCTTCTTAGCTCTCCTTCACATTTTATTTGAAAAGTCTAAAAGTGAAGATTCTATACTTCAAGAAGGCAGAGCGGAATAACATTGAGATATGTTCACCCATGATCCTGTATAAATGTCTACATTGGGACAATAACACTGTTCACCTATGTAAATGTCTACATTGGGACAATAACACTGTTCACCCATGATCCTGTGTAAATGTCTACATTGGGACAATAACACTGTTCACCCATGATCCTGTGTAAATGTCTACATTGGGACAATAAAACTGTTCACCCATGATCCTGTATAAATGTCTACATTGGGACAATAACACTGTTCACCCATGATCCTGTGTAAATGTCTACATTGGGACAATAAAACTGTTCACCCATGATCCTGTATAAATGTCTACATTGGGACAATAACACTGTTCACCCATGATCCTGTGTAAATGTCTACATTGGGACAATAACACTGTTCACCCATGATCCTGTGTAAATGTCTACATTGGGACAATAACACTGTTCACCCATGATCCTGTGTAAATGTCTACATTGGGACAATAACACTGTTCACCCATGATCCTGTATAAATGTCTACATTGGGACAATAACACTGTTCACCCATGATCCTGTATAAATGTCTACATTGGGACAATAACACTGTTCACCCATGGTCCTGTGTAAATGTCTACATTTGGGACAATAACACTGTTTACCCATGATCCTGTATAAATGTCTACATTGGGACAATAACACTGTTCACCCATGACCCTGTGTAAATGTCTACATTTGGGACAATAACACTGTTCACCCATGATCCTGTATAAATGTCTACATTGGGACAATAACACTGTTCACCCATGATCCTGTGTAAATGTCTACATTGGGACAATAACACTGTTCACCCATGATCCTGTATAAATGTCTACATTGGGACAATAACACTGTTCACCCATGATCCTGTGTAAATGTCTACATTGGGACAATAACACTGTTCACCCATGATCCTGTGTAAATGTCTACATTGGGACAATACTACTGTTCACCCATGATCCTGTATAAATGTCTACATTGGGACAATAACACTGTTCACCCATGATCCTGTGTAAATGTCTACATTGGGACAATAACACTGTTCACCCATGATCCTGTGTAAATGTCTACATTGGGACAATAACACTGTTCACCCATGATCCTGTGTAAATGTCTACATTGGGACAATAACACTGTTTGCCCATGATCCTGTGTAAATGTCTACATTTGGGACAATAACACTGTTCACCCATGATCCTGTGTAAATGTCTACATTGGGACAATAACACTGTTCACCCATGATCCTGTGTAAATGTCTACATTGGGACAATAACACTGTTTGCCCATGATCCTGTGTAAATGTCTACATTGGGACAATAACACTGTTTGCCCATGATCCTATGTAAATGTCTACATTGGGACAATAACACTGTTCACCCATGATCCTGTGTAAATGTCTACATTTGGGACAATAACACTGTTCACCCATGATCCTGTGTAAATGTCTACATTGGGACAATAACACTGTTCACCCATGATCCTGTGTAAATGTCTACATTGGGACAATAACACTGTTTGCCCATGATCCTGTGTAAATGTCTACATTGGGACAATAACACTGTTCACCCATGATCCTGTGTAAATGTCTACATTGGGACAATAACACTGTTTGCCCATGATGCTATGTAAATAACGATGTTAATTAATACCTTCTCATACTCTACATTCGGAAAATAACACTTTCCCCATGATGCTATGAAAATAACGATGTTAATTAATACCTTCTCATACTCTACATTGGGACAATAACACTGTTTGCCCATGATGCTATTAAATAACGATGTTAATTAATACCTTCTCATACTCTACATTGGGAAAATAACACTGTTTCTCCATGATGCTATGTAAATAACGATGTTAATTAATACCTTCTCATACTCTACATTGGGAAAACAACACTGTTTCCCCATGATGCTATGTAAATAACGATGTTAATTTATAGCTTCTCATACTCTACATTGGGAAAATAACACTGTTTCCCCATGATGCTATGTAAATAACGATGTTAATTAATACCTTCTACTCTACATTGGGAAAATAACACTGTTTCCCCATGATGCTACGTAAATAACGATGTTAATTAATACCTTCTACTCTACATTGGGAAAATAACACTGTTTCCCCATGATGCTACGTAAATAACGATGTTAATTAATACCTTCTACTCTACATTGGGAAAATAACACTGTTTCCCCATGATGCTATGAAAATAACGATGTTAATTAATACCTTCTCATACTCTACATTGGGAAAATAACACTGTTTCCCCATGATGCTATGTAAATAACAATGTTAGTTAATACCTTCTCATACTCTACATTGGGAAAATAACACTGTTTCCCCATGATGCTATGTAAATAACGATGTTAATTAATACCTAATTCTCATACTCTACATTGGGAAAATAACACTGTTTCCCCATGATGCTATGTAAATAACCATGTTAATTAATACCTTCTCATACTCTACATTGGGAAAATAACACTGTTTCCCCATGATGCTATGTAAATAAAGGTGTAAATTAATACTTTCTCATACTCTACATTGGGAAAATAACACAGTTTCCCCATGATGCTATGTAAATAACGATGTTAATTAATACCTTCTCATACTCTACATTGGGAAAATAACACTGTTTCCCCATGGTTATGTAAACAACGATGTTAATTAATACCTTCTCATATTCTACATTGGGAAAATAACACTGTTTCCCATGATGCTATGTAAATAACGATGTTAATTAATACCTTCTCATACTCTACATTGGGAAAATAACACTGTTTCCCCATGATGCTATGTAAATAACGATGTTAATTAATACCTTCTCATACTCTACATTGGGAAAATAACACTGTTCACCCATGATGCTATGTAAATAACGATGTTAATTAATACCTTCTCATACTCTACATTGGGAAAATAACACTGTTTCCCCATGATGCTATGTAAATAACGATGTTAATTAATACCTTCTCATACTCTACATTGGGAAAATAACACTGTTTCCCCATGATGCTATGTAAATAACGATGTTAATTAATACCTTCTCATACTCTACATTGGGAAAATAACACTGTTTCCCCATGATGCTATGTAAATAACGATGTTAATTAATACCTTCTCATACTCTACATTGGGAAAATAACACTGTTTCCCCATGATGTTATATAAATAACGATGGAATAATAACACTGGTTCCCAATGATGCCATTGTAAATGTCAGTGTAAATTGGACCTTCTCTTATTCTAATCATCCTACCTTAATGTATTTCCATTTCTTGTTCTATGACAGCGGTGTCAAAATTGAACCTTGTTTTAACAGAAACCTTATTATCAGAGCTATCTGGGGTAGAATATCCAGGAGACAGTGGTGAAAAGTCCACACCTGAATCTTTAGGTGAATTCTCTTTCAATAAACTTGGTAATGTTTCTGCAATTGGCTGCCTATTTTTCACTTTGTCAGTATCACTGTTTGAAATAGCATTGTTTTTATCCATGATTTCACCATTTGAGTCAAGTTCAGCAACTTTATCTTTAACAGCTTCCTGACTGGCGTCATCCAGATCCATACGTACTTTTAAGGTGTTTTGTCTTGAAGATTTTGTTATTATGGAAGATAACCTGTATAAAAATAGAAAGGCACATTTTAAGATGTGTATTATACCAAAAGAATAATTTTTGATATTGTGAATTTGTTTTCTTATTGTTTTGCTCATAGATGTTTCTGTTGTTATAGTCCCCAATTATTTATGGACAATGTTTTTGTGGACAGTACATGTTTGATGGTTGGTGGCTGTCGGTTTGTTTGGTTGTACTCTTTGGTCTTTTCTCTTAAGTGCATATATCACCACCAAAAAGTGCTGACATATTGTTATGGTCTGACTTCAGTTTTTTCAATATCATCTACAAGTTTTCAGAAGTTCAAATCTGACTATATTTAAGAATATTTAAGATTTGACCTTCAGTGACCTAAAAAAATGTCAAAAAGTATTTTTTTCAACTTGCTTCAAATTGACCAATTTCTTTTCAAAATCATCTACAAAATATCAGAAGTTCAAATCTGACTTAAGATTTGACCTTCATTGCCCTTCTAAAGGTCAAAAAGGTCTTTTTACAACTTGCTTCAAATTATCCAATTTCTTTTTTTTCAAAATGTTCTCAAAAGTTCAAATCTGACTATAGATTTGACCTTCAATGACATTCTCAATGTCAAAAAAATATTTGACCTACAATGACCCTATCAATGTCAAAAAGGTCTTTTTTCAACTTGCTTCAAATTGACCAATTTTTTCAAATTAATCATCTACAAGTTCTCAGAAGTTCAAATCTGACTTTAGATTTGAGATTTCACCTTCAATGGCCTTCTAAGTGTCAAAAAGGTATTTATTTGACCTATTGTGAGCAATTAAGGTGGTGACATTTTGTCATGTTAATGCCTTGTTATTGTTTCTTGTGAGGATTTGTTCTTTTTTAGTCACCCAGTTATATAGATTTTATGGTTATTGAAAGTTGGACATCTTGGATTTCAGGCACCATTGAGTTTAAAGTCAAAAATATATCTACTGGTGTTCGGTAGTTGGTCTTTGGAGGTTGGCATTTGGTGTCAAATGGCAGTGATGGCATTTTGCATGTTAATGGCTTGTTTATTTTTTCATAATTTTTTACTTACTCAAAAGTGCCTCTCATGAGGCCTTGTTGTGCATCTAGACCCTCTCTCCATTTAAGGTGCATACGCAGTACAATCACAAAAAGAATGGTGACAATGGGGAAGCAGAAGACAACTATTGTCATAATGAGCATAATCATTTTCTTGTCAGGTCCTTCAGTCTCATTTCCTGAATCATATAGATATGAAGTATTAGATAAAATAAGCACTTAATGCCTGAATCATATGCATGTGAAGTATTCAATAATATAAGCACTTACTGCCTGAATCACATGCATGTGAAGTATTACATAATATAAGCACTTACTGCCTGAATCACATGCATGTGAAGTATTCAATGATATAAGCACTTACTGCCTGAATCACATGCATGTGAAGTATTACATAATATAAGCACTTACTGCCTGAATCACATGCATGTGAAGTATTCCATAATATAAGCACTTACTGCCCGAATCACATGCATGTGAAGTATTCAATGATATAAGCACTTACTGCCTGAATCACATGCATGTGAAGTATTCAATGATATAAGCACTTACTGCCTGAATCACATGCATGTGAAGTATTACATAATATAAGCACTTACTGCCTGAATCACATGCATGTGAAGTATTCCATAATATAAGCACTTACTGCCTGAATCACATGCATGTGAAGTATTCCATAATATAAGCACTTACTGCCTGAATCACATGCATGTGAAGTATTACATAAAACTAGACAACAGCAACGCCAAAGCGTAGCAAATCCCATCGAACAGCCATGGCTGGCATTTTTACAAAGTATATAGCAAAAATGGCAGCCATTTTTCAAAATGAACACCTTCTACCACAAGTGTCATTAGACAGTGTGCCATGCTTATAGTATTCAAATACAAAATATGAACAAAATTGCTCCACTACTTTTCGAGTTACAGAAAAAATCGTAAAATAGCGAGTAAAGGCCACCATTTTTCAAGATGGCTGCCATGTGCTTCTTTAAGATCTACAATTCTAACTTTATTAATGTCCTATATAATTTTTTTACATTTAAAACATATCGCTATTACAGTTTTTTATTACAAAATATGAACAAAATCAGGACAACATTATTTGAGTTATTGCCCAGACAGACTGACGGAAGCATTCCCTATATCCCTCCGAACTTCATTCGATGGGATAGCCTAATGAGCACTTTCTGCATGAATCACAGGCATGTGAAGTATTCAATAATAAAAGCACGTTTTCTCAGCAGTTGTAAGATGATTAATTGCTCAGGAGGATGACATATTGCATAAATACTCGCATGAAAACATGACATATGTTACACATATTTTTAATTTACTTCAGAATCATCGGGTGTCAAAAGACCCACGATATCTTATTATATGGACTAGTCTTAGATTCAAATTGCAAATTGATAAATGTGGACATGAGCAACATACATTAAGGTATATTTTAAGACTGAAACAATGTTAGATCTAGATCTGATTTTGCCATTAAGTAAGTAAAATGCCAGCCCTTGTAATAACTTATGATATCATTTTTTTTTAAATTTCAATTTATTTATATTTCCTTGACATTGATATAAACACAAATGTTTGCCTTTGTTAACTTAATAACATTAACGGCAAAGTAGAACATAAAAATATAATACAGGAATTTACACAATACAAAAACATTGTATTGTAGTATGTTCAGTCTGTTTATGCTTGCTCCCCCTCCCAACCAAAAGGTTCCCAAAGGATTATAGACTGTTTCACTTGCTGTTCAATACTGAGATTGCCAATGAGCCACAATTTCAATAATTTTATCATTCACTTCATCATTAAGGTTGGTATCTTCATACAAAAGTGTATCTAATTTCTTAGAGATTGTTAAATTCCTGATATAATAGTGAATGCAGATAACTCTTTTTATTTAGACCCTAAGGTGCTATATTGTAATCAGTTTGCCGGGCGGTTGGGCGGGCGGGCAGGCAGGCATCCCGAATAATCTTTTATCTCTCGTGGCAATTTTCTGACAAGTTAATTTTGTCTGAAGTTTCACGAGAGCAAGCTTTTTTATTTATCATTGATATTTCTGTAATTGTAAAATTCCCAAAGAATCTGTATCTGTATCACATCAGGGATGTCAGCACTGGGGCCAACCCCTCCTAAGCGTCTCTCCCAGGACTTTCATATAATATTTGCAGTAAATGTTCCATGATGTGTTTGAACATTTTGATTAATGTCCAACATGGATAAAATATTGATGAATTAGGTTATGGATACAATTGTTTTAAATAGGTTCAATAGTTGAAAAAGTTACAAAAAAATATTAAAGGATAGGTATCGATATGGAGAACTGAATTCAACAGTGTTTTTCTCTTATTTACCAATCATTGAAAACATTCTGTAAAAAAACATGGTGTTTTATGTAATGTTGACTGATTGACAACAATTTAATGTGCAAATTATTTAGAAATATTTTATATAACTGTTTTTGTTAACATTTTTTGTTTTTTTAGTGCAATTGTTTTTGCTCCTTTCTACCAATACTTGAGAATGAAATAAAATGTCTTTCCGAACCTTGTTGGAACAAAATAGCATATACAACATGTTTTAGACCTCTCAATATTAAAGTTATACAAAGGAATTTTTGGTTGATTTTAAAAAAGTATCAAAAAAATTAAAACATAATCCCCCCAAAAGAGATAAAAATCAAGAAAAACCTTTTATTTCATTAACAAGATACTTTTTTAAAATCAACCAAAATCTCTTTTGTACAATTACAATATTGAGAGACCTAAACATGTTGTGTTTATGTCGTTTTGTTCCAATGAGGTTCAGAAAGATGTTTTATTTCACTCCGGAAACATGATACCAAGAACAAAACAAGTGTTTGATGTGTTTTTTTAAAACAATATAGATGAAAGTATGTATATCTATTTCAAATTATATTGTTACCATTCAAAAGATGGCCATTAAATTGACAATTTGTAAGATTTTCAGAAATTTTTGATGACTGGTTTAAGAGAAACGTGTGTTCAAAAAGTTCGCCATATCGATATCCATTCTTTAATTTGTGAGACTGAGCAGTTTTAAAGACATTTTCAAAAACAAAATTATTACAACATTTACAATCATGTAGCTTACCTTCATTGAGTTGTGACACTGTAGTCGAATAAAACTCCCCATCTAGCGCTATATCAGGCTTTATCATACTTGTCATGTTCACATTGGTGGAATTGGAATTTAGTATCGTTTCAAACATTCTCGATAATATCTGGCGAAAAGGAAAATTGTCCATTGTTTCATTCATCATTTTTCCTACTTTTAATATGTTATCCATTAAAGATGATTCCTAGAACGTTCTCTGTTAAATGTTGCAATTTATATACTATAGTACTGATTATAGGAATGCATTTATATTGTTCATGTTATATTGTGTTACTCTAATAGAGACACGTAGATATAATATAATTTCACATGTGCGTCACTCAGATATTGCATAAAGTCACAATTTCTGCTTTCTGCAATCAGTTATGGTTAGGCCGTTACAAATTAATTGTCTCTGAAAGGGATGTGTGTTGGATGCGAAACTGTAACTGCTAAGATTCCTTTGAACAACGCCACTTATAGTTTTTGGAAAATGAACCCCCTCTTTCAAATATGATCCGAAGCCTCTGGTGTTAGTAGTATTTGCCCCGCTTGCACATTTGTCACGCATTTGCTGAAGAGTTTGAAGTCACGCCTGTTTATTTTTGCGTGACAGAATATGTCAAATACGCATTTGTTCAAATTATTGTCAAGCAAAAAATTTTCAATTCACGCCGAAAAAAACGTACGCTGAAAAAATGAATGCCGAAATAATCGAACACAGTTTGTCACACTTTTGCTTTGTTTTATCCTTTCTCTATGAATCTAGTTTATATATCATAGTTTCTTTGATTTACCAAAAGGTGGCAGTGTTTTTTAGAAAGGTGTATTGAGGGAAATAGATAAAAATGAGACTTACTGAAATAATATTGGTCTGGCCCTAACACCTTTCTCTTGTGAATATGATCACCACTTACATGTACAACCCCTTCAAGGCTGAATTTTCAATATGGCTGCTAAAATCAATATGGCCAAAAATCTTTCAAGAAAAAATGCTATTTTTAATAACCCATTTGGCCCACCCCCCTCCCTTTAGTGGGCCCAGAAAAAACTAGTTTTTGGGCTTCAAAATTAGGTCTTTTTGAGCCAATTATCAAAAATAGGCCTTAATTTTTCAAAAAAAAATTCCAGACTCAAATTTTGGCCCCCTCCCCCTTTGTTAATTTCCGCCACTGTTAACAGATATTTGATTTGGTCCAAATGTTATGGGCTGATGAATTTTGGGTATAAGACCTTTACTCAAGAAATACTTTTAGGATTGTGTCATGTCAAATCCTGGGTGTTGATTTTGCCAAAAGGAGTCAATATTAATTCCTCCTGTTGGAACTGAAGTTTTCTACTCTAGTTTATTGTTATAGCCTCCAACTTTTTGTGGACAGTGTTCAGTGGTTGGCATTCAGCATCTAGCATTTGGTGGTTGGTGTTCGGTGGATAGTGTCTGTAACAGATGCCAGGTAGTTACATTTTGCATGTTATTGGCTTGTTTTATTTTAGAAGCAATTAAAAAATGTCTACTTTGATAAAACAAAGGATGGGTATCGATATGGTGAACTTTTTGAACACATGTTGAAAAAATTCTGAAAATTTTACACATTGTCAATTTAATAATATAATTTGATATAAATATATATACTTTTCTCTATATTGCTTTTAGAAAACACATCAGACACTTCTTTTGTTCTTGGTATCATATGTTGGGAATGAAATGAAACATCTATCCGAACCTCATTGGAATAAAATGCCATAAACACAATGTGTTTAGGTCTCTCAGTCAATTTTGTAATTGTACAAAGGAAAGTTTGGTTGATTTAAAAAAGTGTTTTGTTAATGAATTAAAAGGTTTATCTTAATTTTTATTATCTATTTGGTTTTTTTTTGTTTTTAATTTTTTGAATACTTTTTGTTAAATCAACCAAAATGTCCTTTGTATAACTATAATTTTACAAATATAATATAAGAAAATGTTGTATATGCTATTTTGTTCCAACAAGCTTCGGAAAGATAGTTTATTTCATTCTGAAGAATAGGTAAACAGGAACAAAAAAAACAATTGCACTAAAAAACAAAAAATGTTAACAAAAACAGTAAAATTATATAAATTATTTTTTGCATTAAATTGTTGTCAATCAGTCAACATTACATAAAGGACCGTGTTTCTTTACAGAATGTTTTCAATAATTGATTTAAGAGAAAAACATTCTTGAATTCAGTTCACCATATCGATACCAATCCTTTCATAGCTAAATATCCTATGTTGAGTTGCTTTTGGAGGAGAGTGTATATGGCAACACTTTTGCTATTTAACACCTATAATTATTTCCCCCTGTTATTAATAATTACATACATGTGAATTATTACAAGTATGCTACATCAATTTGTACGTTTCCTGTATACAATAATGATAACATGACCAGCGAGTAATAGAGAAATAACAATCATTTCCAACAATCAAAGAACAATGATCTTAGATTGGTTTTATATTCTTCCATCTCCATGTATAATTATATATTGTTGTACATTGACTTGTGTAACAGCAATGGCGTTCTGCGTAGGATGTGGCTTTGTATTTTCCGGATTCTATATAACAATATTGAATTGTTGGTATGTTGTTGATCGAGGAAAATTTAATGATTTATTTCATATTGTATTATGGAATTAATTTCAAACTGGGCTGGACTTAATAGTTCTATCTTGGAAAGAGGTTTATAATGTTTGCATGACTATAGAATGAATTACACCAGGTCTCACCATATATTCACAATTTCCAACTTTGTCAAATATATGTATGGATATAACTAAAGACTCATAAAAAAATTTGAATTAAAAGTGACCAATCTCATATCAGTATCATATCAAGGGAAGGCTGCGGCCATCACCTTCGCATTCAAGATGGTGGACAGGATGTGTCGATTTAAATATTTTTAGTTTTCATGGACAACTTTATAGTTGATGTAATTTATTTCACATAACTACCCATATTGTTACCCATAGCCCCAAAGTACCCATAACGTAAGGGTAATTGATGCCGTATCCAACCTAAATCTTTTGGTAATGACTTATAATGGGTAAATAATGGCTTTACATTATGCCATTATGTATTGGTAATGTGGAAGTTATGTGTAGGTTATTTGGAATTTATGTGTATGTTATGGGGACACATAATTTGCCCATAACCTACACATGACTTGCACATTGCCAATACATAATGGCAATTATGAGTGTATCATTGTTATAACATGTAAGTTTTAACCATAACTATTGGTTATGGGTAACACTATGGGTTATGTACATATTAACCATAAATGACCTAATGAATTACCATTATTATGGATAACACTATGGGTAATACCCATAACATTTTTCCTAAGCATTGCTTTGATATTTGAACTAAACAAGGCTTCTATGACATGAAAACTCTGGTGTTTGATCATTTGTTCATATATCATGAGTGGGCGCCACAGTTCAACGATATCTTACACTGCTTCCTCTACTGGAAATGAATGATACGATAGTGGTCATGAAACCAAAATCCCAGTAACCTTCCCTTAAGCGGTGGAAGATATCCTTGAACTGTGGCACCTACGCACGACATACTCTGTTTAACTACAGGTCAATAAATTAATATGAACAAATTATCATACTCCCAGAGTTTCCATGTCATATAAGCCTGGTTTATTACTTCAAATATCAAAGCATTACATCAACTATATAGTTTAAGTCCATGAAAACTAAATATATCGAAAGCGACACTTCCCGTCTGCTATCTTGAATGCAAAGGTGACGGCTGTAACCTTTCCTTGATACTGACTAGTGATATTCCCCTCATTCTCTCTGCATTCAGTCATTCAGTCTGCATAAGGTGGAATGTGAACATTGCCTAGCACTATAATGCCCTCTTTTGAATTAATAACCTCTTAAAAAGTATCTGAAAAAGTATAAAAACTGTACATGCATATGTTCCAGCATCGATAAACAGATTTGTTGTACTTTTAAGGAATAATAATATTAAATTTAATGCTCTGCAGTGATTGCCCTCTATATGATAAAAAGAGGCATTAATGTAAATTATGGGAAAATAGTCAAGGGCATTTATTATCTATTCAGGACAAGAAAAATTATTTTAATTTTAATGATTTTATACCATGTGGATTCTACCAGGAATCTAGCCCACACCTAAAATTCACCTAATATTTAAAAAAAATCTTTAATCCATATTTGTTGATGTTCAAATATGATCTCATTTTGACTTAAATTTTACTGATAAAAACGAAGTTCTATTCAGATCTAGTCTATTGATAATATATGTACTGTACATGTAGATTGTTTTGTAAAAAGAATGATTTTAAATGCACCTTTGTTTTTGTCTCAACTATCTGAATCATTTACTGTTTTTATACACTTTATAAATACAGTAAATAACAGCAAAAATAGACATATGCTTTGTATCAAAGTGGAGATATTATTTATTAACCTTGATTTATATTTATACAAATGCAGTTTAATACAGTAGACATTCAAGAACAATTTAATAAACCATTGCTTGTTTGTTGTATATAAATCAAATGTTCAACCTAGTAAGATAGTAAATAAGAATATAGTAGTTTATTTGTTTGGAACAATTTATGACAAGATGATGATCTATATTCTAATCAAATATTTTATTCCATTGAGTTAAATATCTATTCATCTTTTGATGAGTATCATAGAAGCATCCCTTGAAAACTGGATACTGCTTTTTACACTCATTTGCAACAGGTATTCACCAAGAAAAGAATGAAATATTTGTTTTATTATTTGTTATATTTTCACGCCCAATTTTCAACAAGTTTTCATCAAGAATAGAACAATAATTAAATTAGAGTGTAGAATGAAATATTTGTTTTTTTATGTTATATTCTCACATCCATTTTCAATAAGAATGAAAATAAAATGTTGAATGAAAAGTTCACTTTCAAACTTCCATGTGAATAAAATAAATAAATGATTGAGAATACCATAGTCACAGAATGTTTAATTAAATGTGATGTTTTGATTTTGTTCTTATTTTATATTCAACATAGAAAACCATTGAAAGGAATGAAAAGTATAACAATCTTTTGACAATTCTCAAACCAATTATTCTGATGACATACATGAATATTACAAAATAAACACATACTGACATATAAAATCATGAAACCAGCACAATTAAACTTCATATAGTCCTCAATGTGTACATCACATGTCAATGAACTTTATATTGTTAGCACCCAGCGCAGAATACATACAAGCATTCATAAGAACGAATTATTCTTATATGATGTCATAATTGATCAAGTAAAGGTAGGCCCAGTGGAACATTTTTTAATGGTAATTCTATTTCAATTTTTTTATTTCAAAAAGTGATCAAAAATCAAAAATATGTGTGCGGTAATGCATCAATATGCCAACATTTAAAAAGTTTTGTTTGGATTATTCATTTTACTTGCCATGGCCTAACTTAACCTTGACCCCTATGAAAAGGTCACAATGCCGGTTCTTTTCCCCAGTTTTCTCAAAAACGTATGAACTGGCTGATTTTTAGCAATAGATTTTAAAATAATGACCAACATTGGTTAATACCTTATACGAGCTGTTATACCCTTATATGATAGGTTACGAAAGGTTATATCCTTTCATGAGGGATTATACCTTACACAAAACCACCTGAGCTCCTTGTTCTCAGAGGACATTTGAAGTAATATAATGTCTTTCCATCCATAATATGGGGATCATTTCCTTTCATACACGTGCATATGCCTCTTGGATGGGACCTTGTTTTACCTGAGGCAAAGAATTTTCCTTCATGCTCGCAACCTAAAATTAGTAACAAGGCATAAGCATGCAAAATGTCACATACTTGCCATTTGTTAAAGATGCCAAACACCAATCGACGAATGGTGAACATCGTACACAAAAAAGTAAGTTGGATTTCATAATGTCACCACTTTAAAATCCATACATCTATTTCCATGATGAGGATTGTACATGCACATGGACCTTGCCATATTTGCTTGTGACGAGGAGTGTCTTGTAGCTTCATGTATAATTCTGTTCAATCAATGAGTGTGATTTTTCATTACATTCTGGGCCATTATGTCATGCATAATGTTTCTCATTTAATGCCATCCTATTAGTTTCTACATACCCATAGGCAAACATTCTGTTACTGGTAATTCAAATGGTGGTGGTTTAACTTCTTCACCATCGGTGTCACTTATAGGTTCTGGGACATCAAAGTACATCCAGCCCCCCTTCTGACATGAACAGCTTTTTCTCTTGCCCTCAATCCACTCTTCCCCTATTTCATATTGAACCTTGCCTTTCCGTATTCTACCTTCGACCGGGCAGCCTATGATAAAACATGGCAGAATCTTTGTTAAACTGTTTTTCAGTTCTAATAAATTTGGGTATCTGAATTTTTATTAAGTCTTAGTCTTCAGTTTATTTTGCTTCAAAATCCAATCAAAAATAATCTACGATTTTCACCATCAATAAATTAAACCTTTTTTTTGTAAATATTGCAGTTTGAAAAAAACATGGTTCCATAATTATTGAATGTATGAACTTGAACAATTAACATATTATCCCCTTCTAAAACCATAAAGTATGGATTAACCTCTAATAAGTTGCACTTGTCTGCTTGTTTTGCTGCTTTCAGAAAGAGATTTTTATATTGATGGAGCAATCGTGAGAATTTTGGTGTTGAATTTGACTAATTGAAAGAGCGATAGGTTTTTGGCTCGAATGGTGCCGATGGAAACGACGCCTTATATGTCTGTCCATTATCTGTCTGTTTTGAAATTAAACTGCCAATCATCTGAACTGATGCTCATATCCAAGGAGGATTGGCTCCCAGAATGCATTCTCAATATTCTTTCGCTTCGTTTGGTACACATATTTTAAATCGTTAGTTTTGGTCTTGTTACATAACAAAAAATTCAAAACACACAATTGATCAAGATATAAGCTCAAATATTTTGGATTGCTGATAATAATGTTATAGCTACTTAAGACAATAACAACATCTTCATTGTTGGAAAAAATTGAGATTGCATTCTGGGAACCAATTCTCTTTTTGGCTCATATCTGTGGAATCTACTTTTGACTTGTTTGAAAAATTGGCTTTTCCACCATGTAAGGTATGGTGCCATTCAGGTAAAACAACTGTTTGCATTCTGATGAAATTAAAAAGATAATAGCTTGAATTAAGCATTGGTGCTCCCTCTTTGCATGAGTGTAGATTTGAAATCGATCAAACAAAAAAAGTCATATCAATGCAGGCCATCAATTTGCGAGTTTGTCACACATTTGCTGAAGAAATAGAAGTGATGCCTTTTTTTGCTTGATAAATGTCACGCAAATGCACATTTTTCTGATTATTGTCATGTAAAAATATTTCAGGAGAAGAACATCCTCAAAACTAATGTCACATCATTAACATATTTAAAACAGTTATGTATGTGTAGGATATTGTGTCTCCACCATGATAATTTGGTTCCAATGATGTCAAAATACAAGAGGTAGCAGGTTTGTTAGCCAATAGGGTTCAAGCAACTGCACCCAGCCCCCCCCCCAGTTTTGGTCAGAAGTATGTATTGGCTTTTACAGCCTACTATAATTCTGAGTACTCATTCCTACCTGTTGGACAGCTGAGTTTAAAGCAAATTTCTTCTTCATCCGGTGTATTTGAGTCTTCTATTGTGATTGTACAGCCAAGATCTTCATAATAGGTCTTTTTGTCTTCATCAAGTTCATCTACACAGTATCTGTTATGACAAAATATACTAGTAAGTGATGTCTTAACTATCAATTTAACCCTTCTGTGATGATTGAATATTGAACAAAGTTCGGAGGAATATAGGGAACGCCTTCGTCCGTCCATCCATACGTCCGTCCGTCTGTTCGGGCAATAACTCAAATACCTTTGGCTCGATTTTGTTCATATTCTGTACACATATACCCTATTGGGGTAAAAGTTCTGCTCGAAAGCCAATTTTTAAAATGGCCTCACATTCAAAAATGGCAGCCGTTTTAGTGCCGATCTTACATTATTTTAAATGTTTTAAATGTAAAAAAATTATATAGGACAAAAGTTACAAATGTAGATATCGATGAAGCACATGGCAGCCATCTTGAAAAATGGCGGCCTTTACACTAGATCTATGTTACGATTTTTCCTGTAACTTGAAAAGTAGCAAAGCTATTTTGTTCATATTTGGTATGTGAATACTATAACCATGGCACACTGTCTGATGACACTTTTGGTAGAAGGCAGCCATTTGGAAAAATGACTGCCATTTTAACGTTTTTTACTTTAATTCAAAAAGGAGTAGAGCAATTTTGTTCATATTTGGTACGTAAATACTATAACCATGGCATACTGTCTAATGACACTTTTTATGTTTTTTACTATTACCATGGGTATTCGAAAGACCATGCTATAATTCAAAAAGTAGTAATATTATTACAATACATGTAATAATTAAACTCAGGAACAATTAATTTTTACATGGTTTGTCTTTCCTCCATGTTTTCCTCCTACTATTACGCCACTATTCTAGAAATCGTGGATTAGAATGTTAAGTCACATGTCTTATTTACCCAGTGTCACAGGGTGGGATTGAAAAATTTGGTCAATGTCTAGGAGCATGTTGTTTTAACCAAAATTTCGAGATTATCACACAAAATAATAACTAAGATGAAATCCAATACTTACCGTGCGTTATTCGATGCTGCTGGTACAACTTTATTCAGTTTTCGTCTCCCTATAGTTTTGCTTGTTCTTCTCCTAATTTTTGACCTGTACAAGAAATTTAGAAAAAGAGCTAAGTCATGATGAAGTAAAGAAACATGAGAAAGTCAACAGATACTGCTTTTACACTCCAGGTATCATGTTCAATTTAAAGGGCCAGTAGGTCTAATTCTCATCTTTATTAAAAACCTTATATTTATATGAAGTCATAAGCTACATAATCAATAGGTTTTAAACTTTCTTTCTAGAAAATATCAAAGGTTGAAATAAATTCCTTTCCCAATAAGAAGTAACATGCCATGTTGAAGTGTATTTTCATTTGGAAATTGTTTAAAGATGGCGTGGGTGGTTTTTATCATGTGGTCACATTTGTTTCTGATTTCTGCCGACTCCCTGTAATCTGTCTCAGCCATCACAGATCACAGAGGTCTGAGACTGTTCTCTCATTATTTTCACCCTCGCCCTCTTAACTATTGTTACTTAGGTGTCAATTAAGTGTTTTTAACTTAAAATCTCACCCCTCAAATAACATGTGAGGGTACTAATCTTTGTCATGTCAGCAGCAATTGGAGATAATTATAATTAAACAATTGTAAAACATATTATATCTACTACGATCAAAATGATTTATTGCTTTTAGTTAGTGTTACGCAATAAATCATATAACCAACGAATGTCAGGTGTTGTGTTGTGTTTCTATTTAGGTTAAACCACATAATGAATTTAAAAAACTTATTGCACATTTTTCTCAATTTTAAAATATAAATGAATAAATTTCTGCATTCCATTCTATGATCATTTACATAAACTTCAGAAAGAACTCTTAAGGCTAGCTTTACATAAGGAAAGACTTTCTCACACTTCCCTATTCAAAGAGTTAAAAATATTAAATATTTTTGATGTTAACATATATTCCATGAGCCAGTTCATGTACTACATCTTTAATAAACACCCTGGGTCTTATGAAAATCTTTTTCAAGACATATTTGATATCAACATTAATCTTCATCATCATAACACAAGGCAGCGCTGCATCAATTTCATATTCCTTAATGCTCAAAACATTCATTTCATTACTTTGGCCTTAATCTTTGGAATGTTCTCCCAACCAGATTATATAAAAAAAACGCTCTACTCTAAATATAAATCTAAAAACTGAATCTGCATATAAAAGTCTACTTGTCCATGGAGAATATGTCTGATTATTATATCACTGTCATATTCCTCACACTCTGGTTGGTCCATGTCATACACATGACTAATAATTAAGGAGCAATATTCAACGGAAGTCACTTGAGTTTTCATGTGTGATTTTGATTTTATATATACCCAGGAGTACATTATTATGATTAATTCAACATCAATAGTTTTTTTTACATTAATGTGAGTGGGGAATATAACAGTGAATAATAAAACAAATATTTAATTCTATTAAGGTGAATACCTTTGCATCTTTCACAAGTGATATTCCACGAAGCCCGAAGGGCTAGTATTATATTTTAACTTTTCAGCCTACAGTATAGATTTGTGTACCATTTAAGAATTTCAAACTGAATAATATTAATGTATGTTTTCTATATTTTCATTGTTCATCTTAAAACATTAAATGTTAAAAATAATATATTATAAATAATATAAATATATTTTATATTATTGTTTGTTTTCTATATTTTCATTGTTCATCTTAAAACATTAAATGTTAGAAAAAATATATTATAAATACTATATTTTAAATGTAGTCTAGTTGTATGTAAAAACTTTATTCTGTTACACTCCAACATATGCCCATGGGCGTCTAGCAGCATGATTTTATAGTGTATTTTACTGAAGAAATTATGAAATAAATAAAATAGAATTGAATTGAAATTTAGTTACCTGTTTTTACCTGCTTCAATTAATCCAACCACAGCTATTAGAAGTGCTAGTTTCTGAAATATATTGGGTTATTTATTTATCGTAGTATTTGTGTTTTTATATTGTTTAAATCAACTTTATATTAAAATATACAAATGAAAAAATTCAAATCCCAATTTTCAAAATGACTGAGAGGTCAATTTAAGAGAAGTGCTAGTTTCTGAAGTCAAGCAAATACATGTATAATTTATTTATCATAGCACTTGTTTTTATTTTGTTTAAATCAACTTTATATTAAAATATACAAATGAAAAAATCCAAATCCCAATTTTCAAAATGACTCTGAGTCGTTTTGAGTCAATTTAAGCCAAATAATGCAATGATGAAAAAGTTTGTTAACCAGAGACATAAAACATACTAGTGAGTTGTGCGTAATTATAGTATTTTTTATAATATAAATATGTCATATATCTTATATCAATTATTAGAACCCCTTATATACGTACCTCATGCATAAATGCTTTTTAAAAATACCTAAATAACAAAAGATACCTACTATTATAATGGTATTCCACATTGTGTTATAATCCTGTCTTAATTAAGAATGAAATATAAATGAGCGATGTCTGATGCCACTTTACTATTATAGTTCACTGAAACACATAAATCACTATAATGTTAATATTTACGTTAATACCAACAACAATATTTGATATCGATAAACCATGTATCTTTGATCAATGGAAATGTGGGGGAAGAAAAATAAAAGATAAAGTGACTTAACTTATGAGATATTATACACTGATTCACCATGATATGCATTAAAACAATGATTTGATAAAATGACTTAACTTATGAGATATTATACACTGATTCACCATGATATAGCATTAAAACAATGATTTGATAAAATGACTTAACTTATGAGATATTATACACTGATTCACCATGATATAGCATTAAAACAATGATTTGATAAAATGACTTAACTTATGAGATATTATACACTGATTCACCATGATATAGCATTAAAACAATGATTTGATAAAATGACTTAACTTATGAGATATTATACACTGATTCACCATGATATAGCATTAAAACAATGATTTGATAAAATGACTTAACTTATGAGATATTATACACTGATTCACCATGATATAGCATTAAAACAATAATTTGACAAAAGTTCAGCAGTGTACATTTTGTGTTATCACATGGTAAGGAGTTTCTAAGCATTTTGATTGGTCAATTGTGACAACGTATATACAGTATCACATGACTAATTTTTATGTGATACAGTGGGCTGTATTAATACGGAGTCAATAGTAATGATATGATGTCACTGGTTATATCACTTTGTAGCTTAAGAAAACAGTACATGTATGACGTCATATTATTTCACTAACAAGCACGAATACAACATTACAACGTCATATTATTTCAAAGCGAACTTTCAAAACACACAAAATTATAATAGTTACCAGGAGTACAGAGTACTGAACACAATCATTATGATCACATCAAAATGCTTCAATTCAACATTCCAAGATATGTGATAAAATCGTCATCAAACGTTTCAGCTTATGTGATACAGGATATATTCCACTCGGGTAAGAATGTATCACCACTCAAGCTTCGCTTTCGTGGATGATACAATATTACCTTTCATGGAATATTTCCTGTATCACATGCTGAAACGTGTGATAACTGATAATATCATACTTTTAGAAAAACTTTTTTAATCACCATTATTACATACCAAACCATAATTCAATGTCAGATAGTTTTATTAGATAATGAGCTCGTAACAATTAATAAATTCAAAATTGTGTAATTATTTACACCTTTCAGGTAAGTTCATATACTAAGCCGGATGTCCCTTCCATAAATTCTTTCTAATCTATTTGTTAATTCTGTTTTAATATGCCCATGCAATCATAGAGAAGATATATCCGAAGAAATTACTAAAATGTTAATATTTACAAGATGTAGCAACAACAAAAATTGACATTAATGAAGTATGGACAACAATTCAAAACAAAACGATGCAAACCTCCACCCCGTAAATCAAATTATACTAACATGAAATATCAACTTTTTCTCACCTGAGACGTGTAAAAAATGCATAAATGTTTAGAAATCACTAATAAAAATGTTTTTATCTTAGAAATGGATGAGTTAAAAAGGCATACATTTAAGCAAACAGAGTAAGCCACAATAATTTTACGTTATTTTTCAAACATAGTTATCTTTGTTAACTTATGTAAGTACTTGTAAAACAACTATAATTTTTCTAGTATATTGCAAAAGGACGCCTCTCATTCTTTTATTTATTCATTATAATCTTGTTTTAATGATGATATTAATGTATCATGAATATATAACTAACATTGCTCAAAGTGCTGCTATAGTGCTATTTAAATATTGATAAATTTCCTTATAAAATACATTGTCTTTCTTTTTTATTATTGATAGATATGATGCTTTAAAAGCCATATTTATCTTAATTACCTGATTTTTATTGCAATAAAAATGTGGGATTCTTTAGATATTCTTTAGATAAAAATACACAACTGCCAATCTGCAGTTGGAAGTCATTAACTAAGCCAACTTTGTATTTTTACAATTCCTTTTACATGCATCATTGGTTTATACTGTCTTTTTTCAGTTGATTTTTTATTTTTTCCACTTCATTTTAGCATAGCATATACCTGTATACAATTTACATCATGTTTATCATCATAGGTACATCAATATTAAACATGCTTTGTCATATTGTTATGGTCTCCATTTTTTGACGGCAGTTGGTGGATGGTGATCGGCATCTCTATCAAATTCCAATAACTTAACAAATACTGTGAAGACTGACTTCAATTTTTTTTGAATCATCTACAAGTTTTCAGAAGTTCAAATCTGACTTTTATTTAAGATTTGACCTTCAATGACCTTTTCAAGGTCAAAAAGGCCTTTTTTCAACTTGCTTCAAATTGACCAATTTTTCAAAATCATCTTCAAGTTATCAGAAGTTCAAATCTGACTTTAGATTTGAGATTTGACCTTCAATGACCTAATCAAGGTTAAAAAAGGTAAAAAAAATTTTCAAAATCATCTACAGTTCTCAGAAATTCAAATCTGACTATATAATTGACCTTCAATGACATTCTCAATGTCAAAAAGGTCTTTTTTCATCTTGCTTCAAATTGACCATTTTTTCAAAATCATCTTCAAGTTATCAGAAGTTCAAATCTGACTTTAGATTTGAGATTTGACCTTCAATGACCTAATCAAGGTTAAAAAAGGTCTTTTTTCAACTTGCTTCAAATTGACAATTTTTTTTCAAAATCATCCACAAGTTCTCAGAAATTCAAATCTGACCTTCAATGACATTCTTAAGGTAAAAAAGACAGAATTTGCCAAGGGGGTTCACTTTTTAAAAAATTCCATGGTGGGTTCACTTTTGACAATTTTGGTCTAACAATTGCCAAAATCACTTAAAAAGTGCTCAGAATGATGAAAAAATTGTATGATTTTGAAAGAATTTTGGCCAGGGTGGGAGGGGTGGATTTGTTCGGTTTACAGTTTACATAGATATTGCTCTTTCACAACTGTTAATTATAGACCTAGTGTATGCAAGGTAGGTGATTAAATTGAAAATGATGCCAGAATCTTGATATTTGATGATGCATTTAGATTTGCTTGTAGCACTGTCAAACTAGAGAAAGTTATTGCTACTTTGATGTATCTTATTTGTGGTCGCCGGGTTGGCCTAGTGGTTAAGGCATTGGTCTGAAAAGCAGGAAGTCTGGCTTCAAGCTGAAAAGTAGAGGTCTTTGGTTCAAACCCAGGTCACAGCACTTCTTGTGATTTGTCTTTGACCTATGACTGCTGACCTATACCGACGATTACTAGAGTGCTGCTAACTCGATAAAAGGCTGGCCTGGCTAGAATTGTCTATGGTTCTAGCCAGGATAAAGATACCAGTTCTTCAACTCAACAATGGGAAGAACTGCTCTACCTAAGTGACTAATATGTCATGATATGACATCTAAAGAGTCAATAAAAGATATACATGTTTATTCCATAGTTAGCATGATATTCATAGGATAACATGTGAAAATAAAAACGGTATTTTTGGAATCAGTGGTAGAATATGATATTTTTGACAAATTTTCACTTAACCATAGCATACGGTTTTTTAGCCATGACATACAACGTCGTATGCGATGGTTTATGGATTTTTGCTACTTCAGACTCAAAACGAGGCTAAGTGTCAACATCGCCGGATCGTTTGGAAAATTCGAATTAAATGACTTAATTTCCGACGATTCTGATGATGACTTTAACTATGGAATAAAAAGAACATCCTATGATTTACTCGTGATATGATTTTAATCCACTCATGGTTATTGATATCTGCACTCTCTCGCTACGCTCGCTCGTGCAGATATCATATCCATTCGTGGATAAAAATCATATCACTCATAAATCATAGGATATCCTCTATATATATAAGAGTCATCGATATGTCAAGTTCAAAATACAAAAAGATTTGCTCGAAGGATACCCTTTGTAATAGTTCAATCTTAGTCTTTAAAAGACCTTCATTTACAGTAATTACTAGACTAGTTTAAGGACATTAGGGAAATCAAGGGGAAAATCTTTGTATGGGTTCACAATTATCATAAGTAATGATGTGTGTAAATATGTAGATTTTCCAACCATTTCTTCACTCAGGATCATTTGTTTGATATGACATTCATTCACAAAACATCTATGATGCTTTGCTACATTACATCGGACTAGAGATGGAATTGCCTGCCAAAGGCGACACCAAGACATGCTTCAATATACTAGCAGGTGTGAGGTGGTGTTTGCCCATTTCAAGTAAACATTTGTGTACCACATGAAGATCGAAGCATTGTTCTAGTGGGTCGCCTTTTGGTTCCGTTTTCCCCTTCTTTTGATCCTTAGCCACATTGAGCTGTCTTCTGCCTCTGCTTTTGAGTTGGTGAACTAAAGGGTTTTGAGTTTTATTAAGTTATAGTCCTGGCTCAACAATATGGTTCTTACTGATATTGATGGAAACCCTTTGCATCCAATTTTGATGGAGAAGATATATGAGGGTTATAATGAAAACACGCGCTACGCGCTAACGCGCTAGCGCACTAACACACTGTTCAGAATGATCGTTCCAACAGGCCCGGGGACATGTATAAAAATCGAGTGAGTGAAGAGATTAGGTGGCGCATCAGAAAGCAGAAGTATGAAGAAGCCCAATGTTTGATCGTTAACTGTGCAAAGATTATCGATTGTCAGTGTGTTTTATCTGATTTAAAAGGAAGATAAATAGAAAGTAGCACCTTACAAGATGAATGGTCGCAGATATGCGAATATGCTCACTATTTCATTGCATTATTTGGGTCCATCCATCGGCGAGAAAAATCCCGTTTCGAAATCTGAGCCGGGGGCCCGACTACTTGACTAATGACTTAATATAATGTCTTTTGTCGCATGTTACCTCTTAATATCAAGTCAGGGATGTTTTATATATCTTTACTCTTTGTATTTGAAGTTATATCTCAC